CTGGGAATATGCAAGCTAAGGAAGAATCACAAATCTATATGTTACAGCTTTTTTAATGGTTTCTTTCTGTTTCTCTACTCATTGCTGTTTTGTTATCTCAGCATCTAGGAACTTTTTTTGGAATGTTTTTGACAGGGTCTGTCTCGCTCTGTTGCCTAGGCTGAGGTGCAGTGGCACAATCAAGGCTTACCGCAGCCGCGACCTCCTGGGCTCAGGTGATCCCCTCACCTCAGCCTCCTGAGTAGCTGGGACTTCAACACCTGGGCTCAGTGATCTACCCGCCTTGGCCTCCCAAAGTGCTGGGACTACAGGCATGAGCCACCATGCCCAGTCTGGAAAGTTTATTTTATGCTTGTCTCAACTGTGCTAAGGAAAAATAAAGGAAAGTATCTTTTACAAAAATGTTATTATAGGCCGGGCGCGGTGGCTCAAGCCTGTAATACCAGCACTTTGGGAGGCCAAGGCGGGCGGATCACGAGGTCAGGAGATCGAGACCATCCTGGCTAACACAGTGAAACCCTGTCTCTACTAAAAAATACAAAAAACTAGCCGGGCGAGGTGGCAGGTGCCTGTAGTCCCAGCTACTTGGGAGGCTGAGACAGGAGAATGGCATAAACCCGGGAGACGGAGCTTGCAGTGAGGTGAGATCCGGCCACTGCACTCCAGCCTGGGCGACAGAGCGAGACTCCGTCTCAAAAAAAACAAAAAACAAAAACAAAAACAAAAATGTTATTATGACAAATTCCAAACATATATAAAAGTATTATAGAATATAATTAACCTTACCCTCACATCATGCCACCTGGTTTCAATAATTATCAGTCACACATGGCCATTCTTGTTTCACTTTTATCTAACCCACACTTTATTCCCCTCTGGAGTATTTAGAAGGAAAATGAGAGATATTTGGTTCTTTTTTGTTTGAGACGGTGTGTTGCTCTGTCACCCAGGCTGGAGTGCAGTGGCATGATCCCGGCTCACTGCAACCTCCGCCTCCCAGGTTCAAGCAATTCTCCTGTCTCAGCCTCCTGAGTAGCTGGGACTACAGGTGAGCACCACCATGCTTGGCTAATTTTGGTATTTTTAGTAGACACAGGGTTTCACTATGTTGGCCAGGCTGGTCTTGAACTCCTGACCTCAAGTGATCTGCCGGCCTTGGCCTTGCAAAGTGCTGGGATTACAGGTGTGAACTACAGTGCCTGACCTTCTTTTTATTTTTTCTAAAAAGAGGGTTTATTTAAGGAAAATAGAGAGCAGAGAGTTTACTTTTAAAATGTTTTTACATTGGCTGAGTGTGGTGGCTCACGCCTGTAATCCCAGCACTTTGGGAGGCCAAGGTGGGTGGGTTGCGAGGTTAGGAGTTTGAGATCAGCCTGGCCAATATGGTGAAACTCCATCTTTCCTAAAAAATACAAAAATTAGCCAGGTATGGTGCCACGCGCCTGTAGTCCCAGCTACTCAGGAGGCTGAGGCAGGAAGAATTGGTTGAACCAGAGAGGCAGAGGTTGCAGTGAGCCGAGATCACGCCACTGCACTCCAGCCTGGGTAACAGAGTGAGGCTCCGTCTTGAAGAAAAGAATGTTTTTACTTTTTTTTTTTTTTTAAATAGAGATGGGGTTTTGCAATGTTGGCCAGGCTGGTCTCTAACTCCTTGCCTCAAAGGATCCACCTGCTTCACCTTCCCAAAATGCTGGGATTACAGGTGTGAGCCACTGCACCTGGCCAGGAGCAGATAGTTTATATAGACAGATAGTACACCCTGAAAAGATGAGGTAAAGAGGGCTGCTGAAAAGGGAGTGAGTCAGCAGCTAATGTTCAATTTTCATTTTTCTCTGGCTTCCTCCCATCTTTATCCATCTACATTCAAAAACCATATATTATGTATTGGCTGGGCGTGGTGGCTCACGCCTGTAATCTCAGCACTTTGGGAGGCCAAGGCGGGCAGATCACGAGGTCAGGAGTTTGAGACCAGCCTGGCTAACATGGTGAAACCCCGTCTCTACTAAAAATACAAAAATTAGTCAGGCATGATGGCGCGTGCCCGTAATCCCAACTACTCAGGAGGCTGAAGCAGGAGAATCACTTGAACCTGGGAGGCGGAGGTTGCAGTGAGCTGAGATGGCACCACTACACTCCAGGCTGGGCGGCAGAGTAAGACCCCGTCTCAAAAAAAAAAATAGTATGTATTATGTGCTAGGTACTGGGAATAGAAAAAATAATATACAGCAGCCTGCCCTCAAGATGCTCAGATTGGGATGAGAAAAATATTTATAAACAATTACAAAAGAATGCGATAAAAATTAATTTAGGCTGTGACCACAGTGTATACATAGTAATCAGAGAGTATGGTCAGTTTTGGTTCTGCTTTTAGAATAGGTGTTTGGAGTCACCAGAGATGTGACCCCTGAATGCTTCATGATGATTATTAGCCTACTAAAGGAAAAATTATAGAGAGGTGAAGGAGGCTCTACACTTAGAGGGCAGAGAGCGGGTTGCTATGGCTCACATCTGTAATCCCAGCTACTTTGGAGGCTGAGGCAGGAGGGCTACTTGAGCCTGTGAATTTGAGACCAGAGTCAGCAACAGAGAGACCTGTCTTTAAAAACAAAACAAGGCTGGGCACGGTGGCTCATGCCTGTAATTCCAGCACTTTGGGAGGACGAGGCAGGCAGATCACAAGGTCAGGAGATCAAGACCATTCTGGCTAACATGGTGAAACCCTGTCTCTACCAAAAATACAAAAAATTAGCCGGGCATGGTGGCGGGCACCTGTAGTCCCAGCTACTCCAGAGGCTGAGGCAGGAGAATGGCATGAACCCGGGAGGCGGAGCTTGTGGTGAGCAGAGATCGTGCCACTATACTTCAGCCTGGGCAACAGAGCGAGACTCCGTCTCAATAAATAAATAAATAAATACAAAACCCAAAAAGCCTAATTCAGTCAAAGCATGGGTGGAAGTCAGATTTGGTTGAGCAGCTGGGCGCGTGGCTCTTGCCTGTAATCCCAACACTTTGGGAAGCCAAGCTGGGAGGATCACTTGAGCCCAGCAGTTCCAGACTAGCCTGGGCAATACAGTGAGACCTCATCTCTACAAAAAATTAAATAATTTTAAAAGTCACCACTGGGATTACAGGTAGTGGCTCACGCCTGTAATCCCAGCACTTTGGGAGGCTGAGGTGGGTGGATAATGACATCAGGAGTTCAAGACCAGCCTGGCCAACATGGTGAAACCCTGTCTCTACCAAAAATATAAAAATTAGCTGGGCATGGTAGTGCGTGCCTGTAATCCCACCTACCCGGCAGGCTGAGGCAGGAGAATTGCTTGAACCTGGACCCAGGAGGCAGAGGTTGCACTGAGCCGAGATTGCGCCACTGCACTCCTCCAGCCTGGGCTACAGAGCGAGAGTCGGTCTCAAAACAAAACAAAACAAAACAAAAAAACAGAAAAAACGCTGGGCAAAGAGCAGGTGATTATTAAGTGGTAAATCTGACAGTGAAAAGCAGCTAGAAAACGAAGTGGAGATTTTTCTCTCCTCCCTCACCCGCCGAGGGTATGCTCAGGGTTTTAGGCTATAAAGGTACAGGCCCAGGGAACGAGCGAATAATAATAATGGAAGACTCATATGATGCTTATGTGCCAGGTACTATTCTAAGCACTTTGCATATATTAGCTTATTTCATACATAGCTGGGCCGGGCGCCTCACATCTTGGCTGAGGGGGAGGATTGTTTGAGCTCAGGAGTCTGAGAGAGCCTGGGCAACATAGTGAGATTTCGTCTCTATTAAAAATTTAAAAAAATTAGCTGGGTATGGCAGCGCGAGCCTGTAGTCCCAGCTACTCCGAAGGCTGAGGTGGGAGGATCCCTTGAGATGCAGAAATCAAGGCTGCAGTGAGCCATGACAGTTCCACTGCACTCCAACCTGGGTGACAGAAGGAGAACCTGTCTGAAAAACAAAATAAAACAAACAGGCCGGGCACGGTGGCTCACGCCTGTAATCCTAGCACTTTGGGAAGCTGAGGCAAGCAGATCACCTGAGGTCAGGAGTTTGAGACCAGCCTGGCCAACATGGTGAAACCCCGTCTCTACTAAAAATACAAAAATTAGCAGGGCATGGCTGCGGATGGCTGTAATCCCAGCTACTTGGGAGGCTGAGGCAGGAGAATCGCCTGAACCCGGCCGGCGGAGGTTGCAGTGAGCCGAGATCGCGCCCCTGCACTCCAACCTGTGGACAGAGCGAGACTCAGTCTCAAAATAAATAAATAAATAAATAAATAAATAAATAAATAAATAAATAAATAAAAATAGAAAACAACAAAAACAAATAGGGATTAATAAATAGGGAGAAGCAGGCATAATCCAGGGCAGGCGAAGCCTCGGGGCCACGCCCAAGAGGCGTTTGCATTTTACCTTCAACAGTTCAAAGCCCTGGATGGCCAGGTTACCCAATTGTGGACTGCCTTGACTACTTAATTGAGTCAATCTAACCCTCACCTTCTCTCTCCTCTCTCTCCATTTAGCAGGTCACGTAGCCACTAGGGCTTCCTTAGCCTATCAAGCCACCTGGGGACTGAGTCATTCAGTCACCTATCTGGTAGTCACATCTGCCCCTGGGGTCATCCCTCTACTGGGCCACCTCGGCCCATCGTGACCTGTCACTTCTTGAGCTCCCTCAGGCCCCTAGGCTGGCCAGGTCGCCTCAGTGCCACGCCTCCCTGGCCCGCGATTCGGCCTGCACGTTACGCTTTGTTCCCAGAAGCAGGTTTTCGACACGCCGCTCCCTCTTGGCTCCAGCTGTTTTCCTGCCAGCGCTGGGAGACTCGGCAGCCGCAGCGCCCCCAGCGGCGCGCAGCGGCCCAGGAAGAGAGTGCCTACCGCCGGCGCCTCTTCAGCCTCCTCCCGGAACGCGGGAGCGGGCGCAACCAGCGCCCACCCAGATCGTCGTGACGGTGCTCCTCATTGGCTGCGTTGTGTGACGCCACGGAAGGGCCCCGGCGGCCGCCGGGAGCCGGAGCTCCGCGCGTGCGCAGACGGAGCGCGCTGACCGGAGGGGGAGGTGGCTGCCGCTTCTCCCGCGTCCGCCATTTTGTTGCTGTAGCTATTGGGAACGAGCTGGGCAAAACCACCCCGGAGGCGCGACGCTCCTTCGAGTTCGGTGCCTCGTGTGACGGCGGGGGTCGGTGAAGACCCGTGGAGCTGCGACGCCGGCGCGTTCCAGGCCGGGAGTCACTGGAGGCACCCCTGGGACGCCGAGCAGCCCGAGAACCCCGGGGTGGCCTCAGCTGCGGCTCGGCTTTGCGTGCCCTGACCCCCCGGCTCTGCCCTGCATTCCCGGGCGGCTCTCCGTGAGGCGGCCCCGGAGCAGGCGGGCGGCGTTGGAGGATGCTGCTGGCCTGGAGCCGAGAGGAAAGTGCTGGCCCAGCCCTCTGAGCGCTCCTCGAGGTGTGCGAGAGGCCCTTCCTCAGCCCCAAAGCCGTCTGCCGGGCTAAGGCGTGCAGAGCAGGCGAGGACAGCCGCCGCCCCTACCGCCGCAGAGTCCCCGGCCCGACACCATGTCCTCTGCCAGGTTCGACTCCTCGGACCGCTCCGCCTGGTACATGGGTCCGGTGTCTCGCCAGGAGGCGCAGACCCGGCTCCAGGGCCAGCGCCACGGTATGTTCCTCGTCCGCGATTCTTCCACCTGCCCTGGGGACTATGTGCTGTCGGTGTCCGAGAACTCGCGGGTCTCCCACTACATCATCAACTCGCTGCCCAACCGCCGTTTTAAGATCGGGGACCAGGAGTTTGACCATTTGCCGGCCCTGCTGGAGTTTTACAAGATCCACTACCTGGACACCACCACCCTCATCGAACCCGCGCCCAGGTACGCGAGAGCCCGCCCCGACCGCGGAGGAAGGTCGAGAACCGGGTCGGTTGAAGAGTGTTTGTGTAGGGGGGTGGGGCGCGCTTGAACCCATATTGCCCCCCATTCTGAACCAAATTATTTTCCAGAAGGCCTTCCTAACGGAAAGCTAGTGTCAGGATCTGGGTCATTGGATAAGTGGATGCGTTTTTGTTTTTTGTCTTTTCCTCATGAGGCTGTTTATCAATGTCAGGAGGATGCGTTTTAAATGTTTAATGGGGGTGGCATAAAATGCACGCTTTTTGCCTTTCGTGACTTTCTCTGGGTGTAATACTGATGCAGGGATTTGCTGGTTTTCCTAAAAACCTTCTTTTTGAGACGGAGTCGCCAGGCTGAAGTGCAGTGGTGCGATCTCGGCTCAATGCCACCTCCGAGGGCCTCCCAGGTTCAAGCTATTCTCCTGCCTCAGCCTCCCGAGTAGCTGGGACTACAGGCGCACGCCACCACGTCCAGCTAATTTTTGTATTTTTAGTGGAGACGGTGTTTCACCATGTTGGCCGGGATGGTCTCGATCTCTTGACCTCATGATCCGCCTGCCTCGGTCTCCCAAAATGCTGGGATTACAGGCATGAGCCACCGCACCCGGCCAAAAACCGTTTTTAGCCATAGACTTCTTTGAGAATCTGGAGATAGCCGAGCACTCACCACCCAAGCCCCACCCCTCCGCGCCAAAGGCACGTACACACAAGTTTGCACACTATCCCAGGTTCTTGTACTGCCTCCAAATCTCTGAACTCCAGGTTAACTCCAGGACTGCAGCCTTTGTAACAGTCGACAAAATGAAACCAAAATATCAAAACTATATATTTGATACTGTGGTGCCAAGTTTGAAGCAGGCCAGACACCACCACTTTTATAGTACGTTAATCACAAAGATAAGGTGCATTGGCTTCAGCGAGGATATTTTTTGGAAAATTTATTTCATATTTTCTCCCCAAGGACCATTAGTAGGCCAGAGATTAGTCTGATTAATTTCCAAGGTGAAATTAGGCTAAAATGTTATTAAGGAAAATTTTTGAATGACACTGAGTTGTATCCTAGTTCAATTTCAGACGTGCTTTTTGTGTTAAGTCTAATGACTTAGTATCTCTTATTTTTAAATTAATGCAAAGTGACCAAGTAGTCTCTTTTCCAAGTGAAATACATTATTTTAATTGATTAGTTGCTTTAATTTGCCTTAAGCATTTTAACAAAGATTTATTTTTATTGTTGTGTTTGCCCTGTAACACTTTGATTTTATCAGAGGTTTCTTTTATTTAAATTATCCCAAATTTGAGTTGAAAAGTTGCCTAGAATTTTTAAAGTAACAAACTGGCCAGTTCATTTCTTAATCATCTGTTTTAAAAGGACTGGGTGTTGATGCAGTTTTTCCAGGGTTAAATGTTTATGACTTTATGGATTTGTCGACTGGGTATTACTCTAAACATTAAAAGCTATTATAATTAAGGACACGAACTGTTTGCATAGTGGGATAGAGATAGAAAAAGAAGCCATGACAGTATAATGACTTTAAGATTAACTACTGAACTAAATGGACTTTAAAAGTGGGCAGAAAGTGATTGTAAATCAAATACTGTATAACAAAGACCAGGACACCAAGAATCTGATTGGTGAAACATGCAGTTCCTGGCAGATGCTGGTAGTTGCAGTCAACTTTGAGCACAATATAATTCCAATTTAAGGGGTTGAGAATCTTAGAAGCCACTGTAGTGAGATTTGTAGTATGACTGAATAAATTATTCATCTCGTTTGTGAGAGTGAATTATATAATTAATACCAGGCATTCATTAAGCCATGCATGTACTTACGTTGAGGTGATGAATACTAATAATACAGCTGTTTCAAAAAGCGAGTTAATGGCGGGGTGTGGTAGCTCACGCCAGTAATCCCGGCACTTTGGGAAGCCGAGCCAGGTGAATCACGAGGTCAGGAGTTCGAGACCAGCCTGACCAACATGGTGAAACCCCGTCTCTACTACAAATACAAAAAATTTGCTGGGCGTAGTGGCGGGCACCTGTTATCCCAGCTCCTGGGGAGGCTGAGGTAGGAGAATCGCTTGAACACGGGAGGCGGAGGTTGCAGTGAGCCGACATCGCGCCACTGCACAGCCCGGGCAACAGAGTGAGACTCCGTCTCAAAAAAAAAAAAAAGAAAAAGAAAGAAAAAAAGTGAGTTAATGGCTTGAATCTCCTTCTAGAGGGAGGAAAAGAAGTAGGCTGCTTCTGTCTATCCACAGAATCGCCTCCAAATTTTCCATACATGCGTCTTCTTAGAGAACAAGCATGTAATTCTGTTTTTGCTTCCTCTCGTCCTTCCTTTACTGCAGCTCTACTAGGCTGCTCACTTATTCCCTGGTAGCCATCCTTCCTTACTCATACCTTTGTACCTTTGCACCTTTGCACCTTTGCTCCAGCTGTTGGCTCTTTATTGACTGCCTTAACTACACCTCGCTCTCCATCTGTTGAAATCCTACCTGTTGTTCCAGTCCCTTCACAGATGATAGGGCCTTTCTCTGACCCTCCCCGTCACGTTCAGCTTTGTTTCTCCTCTGTGCCCTCTGCCTCAGGCCTGTTGCTTTAATTTAGTTTTTCATTTTCCTAGCTATCTTGAAGGAGATCACCATACTGGTTGAATTAGATACTGACTGAATTTACTTTGTTATACTGAATCTTCGAATTGCCACTCCCAAGCCTGGTTTTCATGGCTTAGGTTTAACATGTTATTAGCCTTTTATAGAAAGCTAGTGACTACTAGAGCCTTGGCCAAACGGAAAACTCAGTGTAATGCTTCTTCACATCCCAAACAGGATAAATTTAGTGGCTTAACTTTTCAGGCATCAAAACTGAGCTTTTAAAGCCAGAATTTAATACCTGTTGGCTAATATTTTGGTTTATCTTGCATAGCTAAAATTTGTAACAATAATGTCCTACTCGAAATTTAAGGACCGGTGGCTTGCATTGTTATGGTCTTATCCTTTTTATTGGAACGTTTCATAATTTTTAATTTTATATTTTTGTTCAAATGTTTATAAGAGAATTATAACCCAGCGTAGGTACTGGGAAAGATGTGTGACAGACATACTTTCTCCCTGTGGAACTCCTACTGTAGTGGAGAAGACAGACTGAAAAGTAGAAAAATAAAGTACTAGTAAGATTAATAAATGCTATGAAGGAAATAAACCAAGGCTGAAAGACTATAACAGGAGGGACCTACCCGGGGTGATGTGGTAGGAGAAAGCATGAAGCTAAGACCTAAGAGTAAAGAAGAACCCTGCCTAGGCAAGACTTGGCTTGAGAGGAGGGGAAGAGCCTACCAGGTTTAGGGAAAAGCTTATGAAGATGTCCTGAGGTAAGAAAGTCGTGAGTGTGTTGTTGTTTCTTTCTTTTTTTTTATGGAAGATGAGGTCTTACTCTGGCCAGGCTACAGTGCAGTGGCCCAATCTCGGCTCACTGCACCCTCCGGCCTCCCGGGTTCAAGTGGTTCTCCTACCTCAGCCTCCTGAGTAGCTGGGACTACAGACGTCCGCCACCATGTCTGGCTAATTTTTGTATTTTTACTAGAGACAGGGTTTCACCATGTTGGCCAGGATGGTCTCCATATCTTGACCTCGTGATCCACCCGCCTTGGCCTCCAAAGTGCTGGGATTACGGATGTGAGCCACCCTGTCTGGCTCCGGCGTGTGTTTCTTAAAGGAGAAAGGGGACATAAAAAATTAGTTTGGAGATCAAGGTCAGGAACTGGGTTTTTATTTGAAGTGCTGTGGGCTCCAAGGAAGGAATTTGAGGCAGAGGAGTGACCTGGGGCTGTTATTGTAATCCAGCTACAAAATGATAGTGACTAATAGTGACAGTGGAACTGTGACTTGGAGGTGCCTATTTTGGAGATAAAATTGATTTGCTGGTGGGTGGGGATGAAGGAAAAGGGAAGAAGGGATGATTTGGTATGTTTGTAACTTTGTATCTTCTGTGTTTTTATCTTTAACTGCTTTTTGTATTTGTGATATTCCTATGATGGATTTCATTTCACTTTATTGAGACCAAGTCTTGCTCTGTCCCCCAGGCTGTAGTGAAGTGGTGTAATCTCAGCTCACTGCCACCTTCACCTCTGGGGTTTAAGATTCTCCTGCCTCATCCTCCCTAGTAGCTGGGATTACAGCATGCACTGCCACACCTGGCTAATTTTTGTATTTTTAGTAGAGACAGGGTTTCACCATGTTGGCCAGGGTAGTCTTGAGCTCTTGACCTCAAGTGATCCACCTCCCTGGGCCTCCCAAAGTGCTGGGATTACAGGTGTGAAGCACCGCGCCTGGCCTAGCTCTAATGTTTTTTATTTAATAGGGGTTGTTTCCAGTTTGACAACAGAATGCTTAAGAAGGTAGCTTGCTTTGTTTGACATTTTCCATTTGTCGATAGATACATTCAGGCTACAAAGAAAAATTAGAAGAAATAAAATTTTGCCATTAAGAACTAAAGGAGGTTGGCCCTTCAAGAAAATAATGTATTGTACTCAGCAGACTTTGGGCATTGCATGCACCTAGTAATATGGAACCAACATTGAATCAGAGAGCCCTATCATGCTTCTGAGGAGCTTACTGGTTACTTTTTTTTTTCTCTTTTTGAGATGGAGTCTTGCTCTGTGGCCCAGGCTGGAGTGCAGTGGCGGGATCTTGGCTCACTGCAAGCTCCGCCTCCTGGGTTCATGCCATTCTGCTGCCTTAGCCTCCCAAGTAGCTGGGACTACAGGTGCCTGCCACTACGCCCTGGTAACTTTTTGTATTTTTAGTAGAGATGGGGTTTCGCTGTGTTAGCCAGGATGGTCTCAATCTCCTGACCTCATGATCTGGCCCCCTGGGCCTCCCAGAGTGCTGGGATTACAGGCATGAGCCACCACGCCCAGCTTTTTTTTTTTTTTTTTTTTTTTCTTTTTCTTTTGAGACGGAGTCTTGCTCTGTTGCCAGGCTAGAGTGCGGTGGTGCGATCTTGGCTCACTGCAACCTCCGCCTCCCTGGTTCAAGCGATTCTCCTGCCTCAGCCTCCCGAGTGAGTAGCTGGGACTACAGGCGCATGCTACCACACCCGGCTAATTTTTGTATTTTTAGTGGAGATGGCGTTTCACCATGTTGAGCAGGATGGTTTCTATCTCTTAACCTCAGGGGATCTGCCTGCCTCAGCCTCCCAAAGTACTGGGATTACAGGCGTGAGCCACTGCGCCTGGCTACTTAAAAAAAAAAAAAAAATTTAAATGTCAGCTGTGCTTGGTGGCTCATGCCTGTAATCCCAGCACTTCGGGAGGTTAAGGCAGGAGGATCGCTAGAGCCCAGGAGTTCGAGACCAGCCTGGGCAACGTGGTGAAACCCCGTCTCTACTGAAATGCAAAAAATTA